CATGTTTTCAGCCCCTTTCACTACACATCCCTCACACCCACCTCCATGCATTTGCTCCTCCTCCTCACACACCTTCCACCTAGCCATATAGTCCCCCAACCCCTCTCCACTCCTTGCCCAAGCCTCTTCCCACCTCTCTAGCCTCATCACAAGCATACTCCTCGCATATCTCCACTTAGACTCCCCTCCCTCTCCACACCATTCCCCTTCCCCACCACCTCCTTACCTTACCCCTCAACCTCTCTGCCTGACAATGGCTTACCTCCCTCATCCCTTCCATCCAGTAGTTACCCCCTGGCTTGCTCTTCTCTCAGGTTACTTGGGTGTAGCTGGTGGGGACGGAAGCAAGCCTTTCTTTACATAATGCTGCTGCTCCTTTCCTCTTGTATCTGTTAGCTCTCTGCGTTGCTGTGCCTTGCCATGCTGTAGTGTTGTTGTGCTAATAAGCAGTTCTCTGTATGGTTGGGTCGTGGTGTACCAGTGGCATGTATGATGTATTGTATGGCAATATCCCTGAGTGTTCCTTACTATGGTATTCAAGGCGATAGCACCCTGGAGTGTGACTTGACTAACGATGGTACATACCTATTGTAACAAAACGTTGAGTTTGGCAATAAAGTAGCATACCAGATGAAAAATATGTTACCAGATCGGCAGGACCAACTTGCTTTGAAGCAACTCTTGCATATGTACCGTAGTAATGCTGTGTTGAGCCTCACTACATTCTAGTCCTTGGGTTGGAAGCGTCTACAATACCATGCTTCATCTCACTTTCAACCACCATTTTATGCCTGTGGTCTTGTACACCTTGTCCTTGTCCCACCTTCCATCATCGCTGCGTGCGAAAGCCCATGTTGTTACGGTATACATGGGCGCGAGTCTGCACAGTTGACACAGTGAGTAAGAACCTTGTACGTCCACACACAGTACCTCTCGTCACAAGTGCGAGATACACAACATCAACAACTAAGGCGTCAACAAGCAAATGACACCTGCAGAATCCGAGGCTTTACCACATCCTGCAACCCTTCCCCGCTTACCCTTCCTACCATTATTATCGCACCCTGTGATCTCTCCTAGCACATGCCGCACACCACCCTCCCTACCTCCCCCAACCCCCACCCCTTCATCGCCATACCCACACCTTCTTCGTGTTTCCACCCCGGCATCCTCACTTCTGTCTGGTGAATCCAAGCAAATGAAAGGACACCGCCTTCCCTTATACGCCCTCCTTACTTGAAACGACCCCTCATGCCTTGCCCCACCTGCTCGCCCATCGATGCCCCTTCCACCCTTGCCCTTTCCCGGCAGCTCTACAGCCACTGAGCCCTCACGCACATCCTCCCCCTCCTCCCCCCCCTCCTCCTCCCCCTCCACCCCTCCCTCCTCCCCCCCCTCCTCCTCCCCCTCCACCCCTCCCTCCTCCTCCCACTTCTCCTCCAACGCGCCACCCACACTGCCCCAATGCAGCGGCATCGCAGTGCGTGCCAGGGACTGCCATGGCCGCACCTCTTGTCCATGCGCTTGCTGCCGCACTGCTTGCCCTGCTCGCTCTCCCTGCACTCCCTCCACTCCCTGCACTCCCTGCACTGCCTGCATAGAACCACTGGCAATGGCCCGCTGCACTCGTAAAGAGTCACTGGAGGAAAACCCCCCACGTGGCAACTGAGGAGGAGGCGAAGAAGAGCTGTAGGACAACGATGTACCTACCGCACCCACTCCAAAATCATTCTCCCGCCGCTGCTGCCCCATGTCTTCATGGCTGTCGTCCCCTGTGAGGTCTATCAACTCACGCACGTCACTCCGTGTCCCCACCGCGCCCCTTCCCCGCCGCTTCTCACTCTCGCTCTGATCCCTCTCCATCCCTTGTACTACCGTGGAGCCACTCTCAAGTGCTGCCAACCTGCTGCAAGTGCCCTCACCACTCCTTCCATCGATGCTGCTGCGCCACCTGTCCTGGCCGTTGCCATAGCTCATGCCACAGCTATTGTCACAACACGACCCCATACCATCTTGCCTTGCCGCCCCTCCTTCCCCGGCAGTTGCTGCTGTCGTGACTGCCCCTGCTGTCCCCCCTGCCCTCCTTCCCTCCACTGCCTCCTCTAACCCTGTTGCACCTGCAAGTACCCCTCTCTGCCTTGCTGAACTGCCTATGCCAGTACCTCTACCTTTCCCACACCAGTCATCACACCACACCTCCTGATCCGCCCTGCCAATGTTGCCACAAGGCGCATCTTCCCTTGCCCGTCCCTCCGCACCACACGCCCACTCATTGCCCTCCATGTCTGACCTGCATGCACCAGCACCAGCACGCTCAGCAGCACCACCAGCAGAACCAGTATGTAAGCTGCAGCCACTGCTATAACCTCCAGTGCGTTTCAGCCAGACCCCTTCCAAACGCCCTCTGCTCCGCATCTCCCTCCCCACATCCCCTGCCCTCCATGCTCCGCTGCACGACCCCCTTCTTCTCCTCCCCATGCCTGAACCCCACAGCTCGCCGCCCCCTCGTCCCCTCTCCCCATCCACCCCCCTTCCAATCCCTCTCCTCCCCCGCTCCTATTCCCACTCTTGCTCCCAATTGCCCCTGCTTCCTCACCCCACCAGTCCACCCCACTCCATCCGGTCCCCCAAGTCCCATCAGCCTCCCTTTCCCCCTCTCCGTCTCCCTCCACCCCCTCCTCCATGTCTCCACTGTCAGAATCCCCCAACACTCCCGAGTCCCCCCACTCGAACCCCCAGTTAAAACCACCACCGTTTGTACCACCATCACCACCGCTCGCAGCACCTCCATTTCGTTCCCCTCCCCCTCCTGCCCTCGTCTCTGCTTCCGCCTCCCGCTCCCTCTCCTCTTCCATCCCCCCTCCCCACGCCCCTTGTAAACCCTCCGCTTCCCCACCAGTTCCCCCGTCCCCAAACGTTCCCTCACTCCCGCTCTCTTCCCCCCCTGCGTCCGCGCCCCCATCCTCCCCCGCCCCCACCCCCCCAAGCGCAGTCAGGGGCGCAATCACCAGGCGCATTTGGGGGGGAAGACAGGGGGCCGGCCAGTTGCGGGGGACATGGTCGGGGGAGAGAAACTGCAGGACGAGCGGGAGGCTGGGGGAAGAAGTGGGGAGGTAGGGGGATCGGGTGGGGGGGGGGGGAAGAACGAGTGCGGAGAGGAGAGCATGGATGTTTGGTGTGCGTGTGGTGTGAGGAATGCTCTAAACCAAGAGGCGAAAAGCGGAGGGGAACGAACACACAGGAAACACCCCCCTTCATCCATCTCCACACCCCTCCCAACACCCCAATACCCCCAACCTTTACTCCTAAACCCTTTGTTCCCTTCCCTTCCCCACCCCAGGTCCAATCTTCTCCCTTCCCTCCCCCTCCCCTCCCCTCCCCTCCCCTCCCCTCCCCTCCCCTCGCTGCACCTGCACCACAGCGGCAGCTGCAGCATGTGCAGCATGAGTCGGAGCTTGCCCGCAGCGCCCATCAGCTGCCGCCTGCTGTGCTGCGCTGCCACGCCCCTCACGTGCAGCGACCGCAGCGGGTGCTGCCACGCCCACTCAAACTGTGTTGCACGGGTGGGGTCGGGGGTGGGGTTGGTGGTACAGAGAACACAGCCGAGAGGGACAATAATGACACATGAGAGGCAGGTGCAAGGGAGAGGTGCAAGGAGGAGGAGGAGGAGGAGGAGGAGGAGGAGGAGGAGGAGGAGGAGGAGGAGGAGGAGGAGGAGGAGGAGGAGGAGGAGGAGGAGGAGGAGGCATGCAGCAGCCGTGAGAGAAACCACAGCCGCGAGTATTGATTCGACTTAAAACTCGCCACAAGCGTTGCTACAACCGTTGGCCATCACATCTCCCTCTCCCCCTCTTTCCGCCCGCTGCCTCCTCTCCACCCGCGCCCTCCGCGCATACCTGCAGCGCGGCGGTGCGCGAGGGGAAGCCGTGCAGCAGCAGCAGCATCTCCCAGGGCGGTGCCGGCGCGTCTTGTGCGCGCCGCTCACCACGCGCCCGTTGTGCTGCCGCAGGCGACGCACCGGGTCCACTGTGAAGCTGGTGGGGGCGAGGGAGGGAGAGGGAGCGAGAGCAAGGGAACGCGAGCGGCACAACCGGGAAGACCAAGTCCTCTGGTTTTGCAGGGCAAGTCTTGTGGGAAACGACAAGCATAGAAATCTAATTTAAAATACGCGTCGGCTCGTACGCGCCGTAAACGAGAAAACCGCAGCTTGAAAATACCATACCCGATGTAAGTGGCTCCGCGCGCCTGGGGGTTCAGGCTCCGCAGCAGGTAACACGCGATCAGCGAAGCAGTAGGTTTTCGCGCAGGTCGCCTCTCCTTGTTCGCCGCGCGTGAAGGCATTCGAGACGATTGTTCCCCGACGACATCCATGCCTCTCCGTCCTATGGCAGCTCAATTTCCGGATCTGAAGATACGCACCACTTACGCGTCGTCCACTAAACGTTCGCTCGATTTTCGTCTCGCTAGGATTATGTTGTACTGGCTTCGAGCCAAAATCGGCGACACGGCTTCTGCGCGTGCGATACGTCGGTTCGCCACTGATCGTAGGGTGGAAATGTCACACAACCTGTGCGAAGTTTAGACGGTCGCCAGGACTACACAAAAAATGGGCCAGCGTTTTGGGGCCCAAACGGACCACTGCTCACCAGGTGTTTCCATGCCAGAGCACACCCCAAGGAATGCGCAGGATTGAGTGGAGCATGAGCAAGCCTTCACACCCATCTCAAAAGTACCTGCCTTTTCATAACCCACACGTGCCAGCCTCCTTATTACGATCTACTTCATTATTAACAGAAAATATGTCAACTGTTTTACTGTTTTAAAAACAACCACCATGCATGGGAGTAATAAAAAAAATAAAAGGCAGAGGTCGAAGCCACCATTCAGCACCCCCCATCAACGTCCCGGGTCCTTCCCCACTAGACTGGTGGCTATTATTGCTACAGCACAAAGGACACAGCCCCACATGATGCCCATTCCCGGCTCATTCCCAGCCCCATCTAGGGACCGGCCTCGAAGCAGCGGTACGCCCACCGGTTCAGAAACCAGATCCCTTCCTCCACAAAGGAAGGGACACAATGCACCGCCAGCCGCAGGGCAGTCACCGGAATGACCCCCAGGCCTGCTCGTGCGGCAGGCGCGACAAGCCTCGTGCATCCAGTGCACTCATCGTGCCCCTGCTCGACCAGGCGCAGGACCACGGCGACCTCAGTCGTCATGGCGTCGGATGGTCCCTCCTCAAACTCCGCCTCAAGGAGCAGCAGCAGGCGCCCGTGCAGCGTCGCCCCGGTCTCTGTCTCGTACTCAACGTACGAGAAGGCCGGGTGGCCGTGCATGGACGTCGCTGCCCGTGCGTAGTGTGGCCTCGTCGACCCGAAATCGAGGGCCATGGCGGGTAGCGCCATAGCCTTGTGGCTCTGCGACAAGAGGCGATGGGGTTCATGCATGGGGAAGAGAGTCACACGAAGAAGGGAGCAAGCGTTATACCACACGCCGTTCACAACAACCTCACCGCCTCCACGTTATATGGTGCAGCCTCTGACGTGAACAAGAGGGTGGCGGTCCTTCCAGATTTGCGCACGTTGGGGTCACTCATTCCTCTCCCCCCCCCCCCCCCCCCCCCCCCCCCCCCCCCCCCCCCCCCCCCCCCCCCCCCCCCCCGCTTCTTCTTCCTCCCCTCCCCTCCACTCCACTCCCCTCCACCCCCCAGTACTCACTTCCAGGCGCATAGGCCGCCGTTCTCCTGCCCAGCAGCGTCGTACCAATTCAGCACATAGGGGTCACTTGTTGCCTCTGTTAGCTCGTGGGCAAACGTGGAGAGCGGCGAGTCGAACCGAACCCCCTCTACCCCACCCCGTCCCCACCCCGCCCCCACCCCTCTTTCCCCTTCACGCTCCCCTGCACTCATCCACCTCTCCCCACCCCCCCCCCCCCCCCCCCCCCCCCCCCCCCCCCCCCCCAATACGCACTTCCAAGCCGCCGTTCTCCTGCCCCGAGGCATCGTACCTCCATTTTTCGAGAGGGATCCAGGGCCTTACACGGCAATGTGTGTTCATTGTAATCAAGAGACATGCATCATATGTGCGAGGCTAACAACTTGTAGGGGGCACAGCATGCCGGGAGCCCAGGGGATTTCTCACCCATGCGGGGAATCCGAGCAGGCCACCATCCCGCATGACTTCCATGTAGCTGTCCAGCAGGCCACCCAGCACGGTGTTGATCTCACCGAACACGGTCGTGGCGCCGCCGACACGGATGACGGGGTCCGTCAAGGACCTCCGTGCATGCTTCAGCTGCGGCCTTCCCGTGGCGATCGCCTGCAGAAACATGGTCCCAAACCAGGAAGCAAGTGAGAAACAACGAGGAACACAAATCAAGTGGCAGCATATGCATATTAGAGTGACAGCGGAATAACGGTCGCATCTACAACAAAGCATACCATCAAGGCTTACCCGGACCAGCGCAGTGGCGTTCCTCCTCCCAGCCGGGAGTGCCGTGCTCAGCCGGGAGAGCTGTGCTGCCGTCGCGTTGTGGGCAGCAATCGCTGCCGTGTGATCCCTGCGGTTGGAGGTGCGGTACGGAAGCTTGCAGGTCCTGATATGAGCGTTCTCATAGACGGTGGCAGAGAACTCGCGCGGAAGGCCCGCCCGCTTGATGGCCTCGTGCAAGTGCGTCACAATGACGTGGATCTTGACAAGGTTCCACCCCGCGCCATCGCGTGGGAAGTTCTCCTCAAGATTCTTCACCATCCTGTGCATCAGGGCGAGGCATGAAGGGGCGGCAGGGATACGGATGAACCTGGTTTGGCCTTCACAGCATTGAAGGGACACATCCGTAGAGTGACATCAACATGCACGATGACTCACCTGCGAGTTGCCTCCTCGAAATCGACCAGCGACTGGTCGGTGTGGAAGGGGGCCCGCACACAGCTCTCGTGCCACTGCAGAACCGCAACGAGGGCCCGTCGCGAGACTGACGTTCCCTCGCCCTCCACGAGGAAAGGCACCACCTGCAGACAGGTGAAAACGGCAAATCAGCCTCAAAGACGGCTACAGCATCAACACTCTTTAGCGCGGCAGACCAGGGTTTAGTCACTGAGCCTACCATCATGACACCCGCGTGCTCAGAGGCTGTATAGTTGGCGCCATGCAGCCAGTAGTGCTCGGTCCCAGGGACGCGGACGCCTGCGAGTCTGGCGTCTGGGTAGAGCACACACATGCGCCTGCATGACCGCACACTGCAGAATGGGTGAGCCACAGAACTCCCATCGCCTACATACAGCGAGAGTGCTGTCCACAGGCGACCTGGCTACTTACTCGTCTTTCAGCAGGGCCATGGCTCGGTCGCCACGGAGTAGACGCCTGATGTATAGCCAGAAACCGATGTACACGGCGTGCAGAATATCTGGCATCATGCTCAGATATGTGTTGCCCCACACCGTCCTGCTGAAGTTAAAATCCCACAGGAAGCTCTGACACAAACCCACACACAACACACGAGACAGCGCGATTTGCGAGTAAGGCATTGCGAATTAGCGGGCGGGTTCGGTGTAAGGCAGAGTAGGACACATGCAACTAAAGCAGCTGAATCGGACAAGTGCTATGATTGGCGGCCATTTATATCGGGTCACCAATTTCGCTCACTGGGATGCACAGCGTGCTGTGGGCAGCCGCCTCGTTCGGGTCCAGGAGCAGGCCCTCCTGTCGGTCAACATCACGCGCCGCGGCTGGATCTCGGTCCATGTCTCCCAGCTGGTCGCGACCGACGTAGCAAGTGGAGCAGGGCATAGTGGAGCCTAACTGCATGGTGCATGTGACCTTGCAGGTCTCAGGGTAGTCCGCGACATAGGAAAAAAGCAGAGGCACAATGAACCGCGGAACGCCGTTGGGATCTTTCGCCATCAAGCCGCTGCACACATATTCACAGCACACCCACGTGAGATCTCCCAATGTGTCAAAATCAGGCAACTGGCGACAAAGCAACCAGAGCTGTCCACCACTCACGTGTGGGACGCGACGATGAGGTCGGCAAGCACCACTTTCATCGCCACCTGAAACAGAGCAACCTTCTGTGCGGGATTCATCTGGCTGGGGGGGAAAGGTAGCATGGCGAGTAGAATCCTCCCGCTGTCTAGCCATCTGCGCCTGAGAGGGATGTTGGCGATTGATATGTAAACCGCCCACACCTTCGTACGTTCGTTACCGCTGAGTACAGTCGCGTCGCTCGAGAGAATCAGGGGAACCACGACCGCTTCCGGACCAAACACGCGCCTCGCCGCAGCCTGCGCCTCTTCCCAGTAGGTGCCGGTCTCAGGAGTGGTGTAGATCCGACCACCAGCAGAATACTCATGTCGCGCAAAAAGGATAAACTCCTCAGCGTTGTCGGGATTCCCGACCAGTTCAAGCACGGCCTGCACACACAAAAACAGTCGAGGGGCGGTTAACTGCGCTCCAGGGTTGTGGATTTAGCATGGGCACGCCCAACACGCACTAGGAACCAACGCTTACCTCAGACCCATCTGTGCACGTGACGGTGAAGGGTGACGGCCACCCGTCCACATGCACGGTGCGTTTCTCGTACTGACGCCTGGCCATCATGAGCGACAGGCCGTATTGCGCCACTGAGTGCGCTGACCTCCATAGGCGCAGCAGTTCCAGGTTAAGACGCTCCTCGCGAAGGATGTTCAGCAGCCAGACGGTACTCTCGTTGGAAAGACCTCGCCCATTGTTGCATCCGGTGATGAACCGGTACACCTCCAGTAGAGTGTCAAAGTTCGGCCCCGGACGAGATACTGTCTCACAAGACTCTTCGGAGTCTGCATCGGAGTCCTCCTCACTCGTATCGCCGTCAGAGCTGTCTGAGTCACTGTCGTGCGTGACCGTAGCTGCCGCGGGACCACCCTGCGCATACAACATATCCTCATCAGCGTGCTGCAATTTCATGAATGAGTGTAAAACCAGACATGCGTGCTGTCAGCAGGATGTAGACCACGCAGCTCACCGTCACGGCTGGCGCCGGAGCAGGCGCGGGTGGAGCGGGATGGGCAGCGACTACAGGCGGATTGGTCGGTGCCGGTGGTGGAGCCTGGACGCCCTGCATCGCCGCCCCATTTGTGTTGTCAGAATGGTTCCTAATGAACCTCGACCGCAGGCGATGACACATGCGACTGCGATGCTTGTGCGCGATGAGGGCAGCACGGGAGCGGAAGTGGAACCGGCACCATTCGCACAAGTATAGCGTGTTTAGACGCACCATGGTGAAACGACTGGGAGGTAATGCATATCCAGGCCATTCTCCGCATATTAGTAGACGATACGATGGAGGTAGCACTAGTGGTATGTGCGACTTGGGATGGTGGCTAGGGTTCAGCCAGGAGGGTGAATCAGCACTTCGCGTGCAGAGATGCAAGTGCTGTGCTGACTGCTCCTGCATGGTGCTGGAGGTTAGGTTTCGATTGGCTATAGCCAGTGTGGCATTGCTTGACACGCGTTAAGGAGAAGCAAATTGAGCATGAGCTGTAGATATATTACAATGGTAACGAATCGAAAGATGGATGGGAGGCTTTGCATTGCCACCCCACGTGTGTGCTGAACAGCTGGACTAGGAGGACTGCCACGCCCACCAGCCACACCTTTCCGCGTAGGCCTATAACACGTCATTGTTAAGGTAGTACCCCCCCCTTCCCAAAAAAATATCTTGCACGTCAGCAGTCACCACGTGCCACGTCGACGGTACCAAGGTCAAGCATTTGAACTCCCGTGTAGGGCCTCACTTGTAACGTGGCGAAGTCCTGCGACGAGTAATACCAGGTGGCAAGCACAACCATGGTTTCGCGCGGTCGAATCGGAAGCGCGTCGCTCCGACCCCAGGGGCCAATGCCATTATTCGTTCTGGGGTATGGGCACACAGCCGCGCATTACGGTCATTCCACAATTGCACTTTCACATTGAGGCAGAAATGGTGAATTCGCAAGTCCCTCGGAATGTGGCGCAGCCATCTGTATGGAGAAGTGCCAGGGATGGGAGCAGGCGCTATGAGAGCACTGCTTACCGTGGACCTGCGTGGCCTCGCATCCGCTCCGCTTCAACGCGCCCACCATCTGTCGCAGTCTTGGTGCGTGATTTTTCGGAAGTGGTGGCGTTGCTGATGCAGGATGAATACGTGCGTTTAATGACGGCCAGAGAAGCACCAACGCCTAAGAAACTGCTCGACAGCGTCATGCATTTGGTCCCTGAATGCCATGCCGTCGCTTCGGCGCAACGCCGTATCGCCTTGGAGAAACTGACTGCCATGCGAATGGTGAAGGGGAGGGCAGTTTCGTTCATCGATACAGAGTGCATCTTTGCAGTTATGCACGACGGGCGCGATCCAGCGGATGTACTCGCAAGCTCGGTGCGATTCGTCGAGATAGTGAAGGCCGGCTACAAGGGTGTGAACCTGCGCGCGACCGGTCTAGACAACTTGGTGTCGGCGACGCCTGCTGAGCACGACTACCGCACTTTCCTCATGCACTTCGCCATGAGCGAAGGATGGGTGGTAAGTTTTGTGTGGCCATTCTAGTAGTCTTTGTTTCAAAGCCCTTGTGCGATGGTAGACTTAATGCGCTTGCGTCGCTGTTTTGCACAGATGCAGCACGGCAAATACGACTTCTGGGGGAATGCCGACGCGCGCAAGGAATTCGCGCAATACAAGATAGCGCAGCCGATGCTGTACAACTACCAGCAGTTCCGCCACATTGGTGGTGTGGATGGCATCGGCGCGGGCATTCTGGCACATGCTCTTGGCATGTTAGCCTGGTGGGAGATTCCGGCGCGCGATCAGCTGTGGTGGATCCCCTCTTATGGGAAACACATGTGTGTTTACCCGTGGGATGTTCCCGAAGGGCTGAGCAGGGCGCCTCTGTATAGGCTTGTTTATCAGGACTGGGATTTTAATCATCCTGATGAGGATCTCCCTGATTTTCGCCTCTAGGTGCTTGTTTGCAATTGCCGGTGCTAGTTAGCTTTGTTTTTCGGCGTGCCTTGTGTGTGTGACTTGATTCCACGGTATACACCAGATGTATGTGTTGATTTCGTATTACCTGCCGTGAAATTGTGACTGCATATAATCGCGAAGCACAAACCCCCACACATCACAGAGACTGGTGCCGGCCCACCATTGTCAGAAACCCTGGTACGACTCTGAGCCAACGCGCATCGAGTAGATGTGAGTGTATCTAAACGAATAGGTCTACACCGCCTTGCGTGACTTCATCGCGCCGCGATCTCGCGGAGCTGTCATCGTTGGGGCCGTCACTCCGTCTCGCTGTCATTTCCTGTCACAATGACGTGGAGAACAGCGTAGATCTGCGGCCTGTGCTGGATGCAAACGTGTCACGGTTACACCCAATGTCAATTTCGTTTTCCCGCGCGAGTAGATTAAGCTGCACCTGGGGGTACGAAATATCTTCTTCATCTTTCCCGCGCTGGCTATCACCACGCTAGTACACGTCATGCACGGGTACCATTCGACCCAAACGCTTGTGACGCGTTTGGTGTCACGTGAAAACCAGGGCGTCAGCAAAGCACGATCGCGTTCCCTAATCCAGCTCAGAGTGGCTCAGCCACCGCTATGCTCGCCAGCGCATACTTGCACAGCCATCACCTCAGCAGTGCTCGGCGACGTTGAGGCATGAATAGCTGGCAAATTCCCCCCCATACCACATCTGTCGCTACCTATTCCAAGTAACGAGAGGCAGTCACTGACTATCAGCGTTTATGATGGAGCCTGCTAACTCACCGTTCACACCTCGCCGTCGCTCTTCCAGGAGGAATGCTGGCCATCGTAGCGACGACGAAGACATGATCTACTACGGGCACAGGACCCAGTCGCCGCACGTCAGCGGACGTCAGGGGCGCACGCCGTCCGCCGGGGATGACTCAGCGGGCCACGAGGAGACCGACAATGAGACGGGTTATCTGCAGTGGGCCGACCGTCTCGATGTGGAGGACGCGCCAGAGGACACCGACGAAGAAACTGAGAGCGAACCAGTGGATGAGGACGCCGAAGGTGTGTAGCTGTTGACCCTCATCTAGATTGTTGGCCGCGTGAGTATAGGCTGGCGCGTATGTATGCTTTTCCGTTCCTCGTTAACTGTAGCTGCTGGTTGGCTGTTTGTTTCAGCTGAGCATAGGCAGCACCGCCTGATCTCCGAGGTTGTTGCGGCATCGTCAAACGCGACTTCCACTGAGGCACGGCCCAGCAATCGCGGACCTGCGGCGACTTCGGCGGGAGGTGCGGGCTCCGTTGCTCGCAATGCCGCCCAGCCGGTGGACGCGGCAGTGGCAGCGCGTGTTAGGCTGCAGGAGCGTCGCATCCTGGAACTGAACCAGACCATCGAGCGTCTCGAAGGGACTCGGGCGGCAGCTGCTCGGGAGGCCGCATCTCGGAATGTGCCCCGTTCTGCACGCGCGCGCGAGGATGATGCAGATCCACCACCGGCCACCAGGCAGCGCGTGTCGCCGTCGCATGGGGTCAACACCGACACACGCCGTAACACCAGGTCGCCTCTGGTGGCGCAGGCCATAGCCAGGGAGATCCGTCAGAGCCACGCTGGCTCGCGGGCCACTCCTGCCATACTTGACTGGGGCGACAATCTTGAGCAGGGGAACAAGATGATCCCGACGCTGGAGGACGGATTTAAGGTGAGATTACGGTCGTGTTATGCAAACTTAACCCTGTGTAGCAGCTGTTTGTACCCTATCCTTATGTCGATGCAAACCCCGTGGTCCCATCATATGCAGGGTGTGGTGGAGGACAGCATCAGCATTCTCGCATACGACACGAACGTGGTGGTTATGAACTTCTGGGTCCCCCCGGCGCTCGCAGAGCGGTGCGTCGCCCGCGCTCTCAAGCTCACATCACCGAGAGAGCTCACACTGCTGCACATGATTTGGGGCGTCGACGAGAAGCGTGTGGCTTGGTTCACGCGCATGATGCAGGTTTGGCGCAACACCAAGTGGGAGCAGGGGAGGGCATACGCGTACATTCTGCACGGTCTCCCGTACGACGCTGGGGCGAATCCGCGCATCAACTTGCCCGTAATCCCCGACGGGCAGGAGGTGGAGCGTATCACACGTCGCGACTTCACCCCACGATACAAGGCTGGTGAGCAATGTGGCTGCGATTTCAGATTGGTGCATTGGACATTGATTCTGTCTGCTCACGCTCGCACAAATCCCGGGCTATCCTATCCGTACAGGGCCTGCCACCTTTGAGCTGATGCCATGGCATCGCAATGCCGCGGGGCTGCCCTTTTCGACCGAGATTTTCGAGCGCGCTCTCTACGCGTCCTTCAAGAGGCCCATCCCGCCTCCCCTGCTGCTGCTGACGTATGTGGTGGCCTTCTGGCTGTTCGGGGTAAGGACCGTGGCATCGATGTACATTAAGTAGCTTCCTCTCTGTTTTAAGTGGTTGTAGTGTTCTAAACCATGATCTGCACGGTTTGTGTTTCTCGTGAGCAGGTAGAGGTGCCTATCGCCACCGGCACTTCCCTCGTTCGCAGCGCCCAGCGTAATGAGGAGGGCGTGCGCTGGTACCACGAACGCGTGAAGCGCTGGCTTCACAGCGCGATTCTCCGCCGTACCGCACAGGAGGGCCCCTTTTGGGATAGCGATAAGCGTGGCTGGGCCTTCAGGCGTGACGGTCTCATCCTCATCTCTGGAGCATCTCTCTCCGAACCCCCCTCCAGCCAATGTTCCCGTAATCCCTGCAGTGACCCCACGTGCCAATTAGGCGGCTCCCCGTCTCTGCCCTGGTGGGGTAGCGAAGTGCGTTTGACTTACGCACGTTCCCAAGGCCATCTCACCAGCCCCGCATGCGCAGGCGCAGGCGTTGTTTGTGTTTGCTAATTCCACAAGTGGCGGGAAAACTCTCCCCAGCCCACAGTGTGTTTCGTGGCTGCATGTTTGGTTGAACGCTCTATGACAGCGCTATACCCTGCTGCTGTATTTGTGTTTTCTTTTCTAGTGTGGCTTTTGCTATACAATGTACAAGGGCGATCTTTCTCAAACAATACACCATACGGAGGGCGTGTTCACTGGCGCCGGGCAGCGACTGCAGGGAACGCGTCGGTAATTGTAACCCTACGTGCGACACGTGGCAGCGCACGCGGCTCGTGCGAAGGGTTACGTGTTACGCACACCTCGTCCCTAAACTTCATTACGTGTTAATATCAAACCTTACATGCGTACCCCATAGTGAAGCGCAGTCATTTCCGAGTGTAAGTACAGTGTTATCTCATCGCTCTGTAGCGGCACATTCGGCCGTAGTCACATGTGACTGTGTTCATAGTCACAATTTTAATTTTGACGTAAGAAGGCTATACGGTATTCTATATGGGCGGGGTGTACATGGCAGGTTCAGCTGTATTCATAGCGGGGTAGTTGTTACGGGTTTCCAGGTGGTACAGTCATCAGGGACTGTTCACATAGTCTCCTTCGAAACCCTCTGGATTGTTCGGCAACTTGTGCACAACATACCCCAAGCATACCAACCCCTTTCCGGTGCAATCCGTATAATAGTGTCTGGGGTGTGTCCCCACGATGTACATCTTCGTTAGGGCGCGTGTCTTTTGGTTTTTACATGCAAATCTCGAATTTTTTGTTGAACTGTAGTCATATGAACCTAGCTCGAGCTAGGCTCGAGTTTTCACCAACTGCAAACCGAGCCGCGGTTCCACCCCTCCCGAAAATCACGCGACAAACAAAAGTTCAACTATCGAAGTTGAACTTTTGCAGCCCAGCCGAGCCGCGACCTACGCTTGTAGGTTACCCGGTTTGGGCTCTTGACATCGCGCCACCGGGACTCGCGCTGACGAGCACCCTCGTGCGCACGATGCTAGCTGCGAGCGTCGCAGACTTCGCATCGTCGCTGTCAGTGATGAGGTGGACACACGCTCGCACATTCGTGCCAACCTGTTTGTTGATGAGGGTTCAACTTGGGGGCTCAACATTTTCCGATGCCGGAAGTGTACGTGGACACACGACGTCCTGGCGAATGTTTTGGCGGAATTAACGAATAGGGTAACCAGCAAAAGTTCAACCAAAAATCCGAACGTCTACACCAAAAGACACGCGCCCTTAGTCAGGGGATTCTTCAGACAATGTTTCGGCGTTTTTTTTTTTGAACCCTATAGGGTTGCTGTGCGCTAATGTGTGTTGAGAGAGTCACGTGCGTGTCACACAAACGACCCTTTTGCAGTCGCTGGTGTAGATTTAATTTTGACATAGAGTCATCAGCCGGCTCCGCGTTGCTCGCGACGCTTTTAGACGCCGCTTCTGGCGCCCGCCGCTTGTAAGCGGTTAAAACCCGGGTCGCAAAAGCGGGCTATTCCGCCTTATGACTCGGCCTGAAGACTGCCATGACAGCGGGGAGATTCGGGAGGTGCTTGGTCTGTCGGGACAACTTCAGATGCAATCCAGTTTAGCCAGCGCGGTTCGCAAATGCGATCCCCAGTGGAAGAAGCTAAGGAGTCGTTATCTGCCCGCGGTCAGAAAAAAATAAACCCCATTTTGGATGGCAAGCGATTAGGGGAGCCCCAAACCTAAACACGGGGAGCCCCAACCCTAAACACGGGCAGCCGCATGGTTCTGCCCGAAAAGATTGCATTTGCAAACACGCACTGGGAAAATTGGATCGCAGTTTGAATTGACCGTTGGTCTGTCTGTTTAGAGCTCGCTGAATAGGCAAGATAAAATTGGCGCGCTGTGCGCGATGCGTCTCGGCTCTGATGTGTCTGTCTGACAAGGCGGGGCGATCTCCCAACATTGTAGGTACACCGCATCTTGCTTCACGAAATCAGTTGAACAAACTGCAAGATGTTAGCGGAGGAGCTTAAAACAAGTTCATGAATTGCGGAACGGAAGCGCCTCTTCTAACGAGCAGAATTCGTGCCTTCCAGGTCTGTCAGCTGATGAATCTTCCCGCCTGACATCCAGCCAATGGCGTAGCCTGTTCCACCTCACCTCCAACTACAACCATCTACCACCGTTTATCCATCACTCTCACCTCAAATCCAACAATCTCTGACCGTACATTCATTCGACCCCACCAACCACCACAGGTTGCTTGACCTCCTCCCACCAAGCCGTCATCCTGTCTGGTCGCTTTGGCTTCGTCAGATTCGCCATCGATCGGTTACGAGTCTTCTCGTCGCAGATGATTTCGCGACCCTAGAAAATACCAAATCCACCTTCCGCTAACTTCCGCAGTCACTAACACCGAGAGGTTCTTCCCCACTGCACGTCACATCACGCACATCAAGTTCCTCTCTGCATTCTGCGCTGCTCTCTCGCGTTTTGTCTCCCTCATCATTCGATAAGGTGGACTCCTGCATCCTTAACTGTTAGCCGTCACCGACGGTGTTCGTGAGAGGAGAAAAGGGAACCGCGCGGGATGAGTGTCGCGATAAGAATCTGAGCGTCGGTGTGCGCGTGGATTTCTATCTTGGAGCGGCGAGCGGAATTGGGTAGTCTCCTCCGGACGATTCGCGCTACCCTTCATCCTCAGGTTCGAATTCCCAATACCCTAGTCCGGCGATGTTCGTTCTGGCTGAAGGTGATCCTTTTGACGACTCGAATTCCCATACATGCACTTGTTCCCATTCACATTCCTACTCCTTGCTTGTTATAATCTCGTCGCTTTTAAAGCAGAATTCCTTGTGTTTCATGAAATTCCTTGTCTAGAATACGTATCCCCCTGCTCTTTCGATTCCCGTAGCTCATCTCCCATCGTCCCTGTTCCTCGCACGTGCTAACACATTGCTGTAATATTCATTGTACCTCACCCAACCTCTCACCATATTTTACCATCACTTTATGCTCCTCTTCTTCCGCTTCGTCTTCTCCCGTTCCGCCAGGCCGCCATGAGGCATTCTCAGCTGCTCGTATCGCTCCTCCTCGTCGCCAGTCTTGCCGCCGTGGCAACCGCGCTCCGCCACGCCTCCCTTCCTCTCGACGATTCCTCCGCATCCTCCGTCCGCTCGTCTCTCACAAACGATGCGGATCGATCTGCGTCTGTCGCGGTCGCCCGTCGCCTGCTCGGTCTGTCCGTTGCTGACGCTGACGATGACGGTGACGATGCGACGCAAGGAACCTCCGTCGCGCCGCGTTTGGCGGCGGTGAATGCGGAGGAGGGGGGGGAAATGGCGGAGAGAATCGTTGTTGCGCGCAGGGGTTTGCAGGAGGATGAGGATGCCGGGGAATCGACCAGCACCAGCAGCAGTAAGCTGAGCAAGAAGAAGAAGAAGAAGCTCAAAAAGAAGAAGAAGAAGGTGAAGACGACTAAGAAGGTAAAGAAGTCGGTTCTTAGCGAGGACGCGGAGGAGGAAAGCGCGGCGGTAGCGGCGGAAGCGGAGGCGGAGAAACCCGAAAGAGCGGTTGGAGAGGAGGGGAGGGCCGAGGAGGGGGCGGAGGGGGAGGACGAGGCGGGAGTGGGAAGTGGTAAGGCGAGGAAGAAGAGTGGTGAGGTGATAAAGATGGCGGTAGGGGGTCGCGAGGACGCAGAGGAGAGTGAGCTTAGCACGGGCAAGTCGGCGAGGGAGAGCGAGGAAGACGATTCCGCCGCTGCTGCTGCTGATGCTGCTGCTGCTGATGCTGCTGCTGGTGATGCTGCTGATTCAGACAGTGCTGGTGGCGATGACGAGGGTACTGTGCAAAAGGCGAAGAAGAAGAAGAAGAAAGCAAAGAGCAAGTCGAGCAAGAAGAGTAAGACGAGTAAGGCGGATGATGAAGCGGAGCAAGAGGAGGAGGACGGGCTAGTGAGGAAGGGAGGGAAGGGTAGCAGTGCGGCGGACGAAGAGGACGCTGCTGCTGCTGGTGCTGCCGCTGCTGCTGTCGCTGATGATGCTGAAGCTGCTGCTGGTGATGCTGGCGATGATGCTGATGGGGTGGGCGTTGGAGTGACGAAGAGCTCCAAGAGCAAGAAGAAGAGCAAGACGAAGAAGAAGAAGAAGGTGAGCAAGCTGGCGGCAGACGAGGACGAGGAGCAGCGAGGGGACGCGGGAAGCGGCGAGGGCGAGGGTGGGGTTGCAAAGGAGGTGGAGAAGGGAGGTGGGGAGGAGGAAGGGGAGGAGGAGGGGGCAGGGGCGGTGAGCGTGAAGAGTAAGGTGGCGAAGAAACGAGTGTCTGGTGGTGCTGACGGGGAGGAGGAAGGGGAAGTGGATGCGGGCGCAGGGGAGCCTGAGCTAGGGAAGAAACGAAAGATCAGCAGCAGCAGGAAGAGCAGCAGTGCGAGCGCGGAGGAGCCTGGCGCAGAGGAGGATGCAGAGGCGGCGGCAGCAGGCGAGGCAGCCGCGGAGAAGGACGAGTCTGAAGGCACGGCAACGGGAGGTGCTATAGCGAAAGCAGCAGCGGCTGCGGACGCGGAGGAGGGAGACGACGCATCCGTTAAGGACACTCTCTCATCAGAGGAGGGGGAAGGCGGAGCGGTGGAGGCGCGGGAAGGGGAGGGGGAGGGGGATGCAGCCAGTTCCAAGCGGCGCCCATCCGCGGAGGAGAAGGTAGAGGCGGCTGCGGAAGCGGCGGAGACGGCGGCAGCAGAGGCGGCGGGCGCGGGCGACGTGGCAACGGTGGAGGCCGCGCAGGAGGACAGCGGGAACAGCGGCGTCGCAGACGAGATCGTGCTCGCCCCTGCCACTGACATCAAGTCACAGAGCGGGACCGGGAGCGGGGCGGGGAGTGGGAGGGGCGGCGGGGAGGCGGACGTGGGGGTGGTGGACGAGTCAGTGGTGCTGGGCAAGGAGGGCAAGGCGGCTGCAGCAGCGGCGGACGAGGGGGCGGCCGAGGTGAGCGTGGGAGAGCAGCTAGAGCTGGAGGCGGCGGCGCTGGAGGAGGAGGAGTCGCTCGCCAACTTCATGAGCAACCTGCACGGCGTGCCCACCCGCTTCACGCCCACGCTGCAAGGCCTCCGGGTACGATACGATGCTCATGGGGGGTGGCGTGGCTGTGATGGGTCTCATGGGGTTTGGTCTTATGGGCTTCGCTCGGGTTATCATTCGCATTGGGTTGCATTCCAGTGCTGCTTCGCCAAGTGATGCGGGTATTCTTCCCCCCTTCACCGCTCTCCTCTTCCCTCTCCCCCCGCCCCCTTCCTCTCCCCCTTCTCCCTCCATCCTCCCCTCTTCCCCAACCCCCTCCTCTCCGTCCCTCCTCTCCCCCGTCACACCACACGCCACCCCTCTGCACCGCGCAGGACAAGGCAGCGAAGCACATGGCGCCGACGATCAGCCGCCTGGCGCAGAAGGGCCATGCAGCCTTCATCCACACGTCTGCTACTCTCCGCTCGCACATCACGCCCTACGTGGGCGAGTCCTACTCGCCCCTCCTCGCCTCCGCGCTCTCCTTCTCGCTGCTCCTCATCCCCCTCGCGCTCATCCTCTACCTGCTGAACAAGGCGCGCGTGGTATCCTGACGGTGCCCAAGCTGCTGCTGCTGGCGAACCTGTACCTGACGCTCTACTGCTTCACGCTGCTCGTGGCCTGTGTGGTGGTGGGCGGGGAGCCCATGGCGAGCCTCAGAGCGGTTGCAGAGCCCAACTTCTACGTGCTGCAGCTGCTGCAGTTTGCGGGCTTCATGCTCTACCTGGGGCTGCAGGTGAGGGGTTGGGGGGGGGGTTTGTTGGAGTGTGTTTTGGGGGATGGGAGATGGGAGGGTAGGGGAGATGTATCTGGGATGTGGCCGAGGGGGGTGGGCGGAGGGAGGGTTTGGGCTGCAGGTGTGATGTGGGCATACTGAGGAGAGGAGAGGACGCGGATTTGACTCTATGCTGTGATTGGGGTGTGGGAGGGGGAGGGGAGATGGAGGATCGTTGGGGGTTGCAGGGAGGACGAGGAGGGCGAGCGAGAGTGGTGGAGTTGGGTGCTGAGGAGTGGAGATGGGGATGCGGAGGAGGGGGGATGGAGGGCATGTTACTGGGGTTCCCTTGAAGGCGTGGGGTTAAAGCTTGCTCGGGTTGCTCATTCAAATGGCGGGGATGTGGTGTAGCATTCCCTTGGACAGGTTGCTGCTTTGTCTGTCTGAGAATTCTAGCTCCGCTGTGCTCTGCGCTAGGAGTGCTGCGTTCAGCAGCAGCTTTGTGTTATGAGTCTTCGCATTCCTGGCTTTCTCCATACCCTTTCAGGCCCTTTCCTTCCCTCACCTCACCTCACCTCACCTCACCTCACCTCACCTCGCCTCACCTCACCTCACCTCGCCTCACCTCACCTCACCTCGCCTCACCTCGCCTCACCTCGCCTCAACCCCCATCCTAGCACCGTAACCCCATCTTCGCCTCACACCACACCTCACCTTATCCCCCATCCCCGGTTTTTCTTCCCCTCCCATTCCACCCCCCCTTCCTCCCTTGTCCAACCTCGCTGGCCCCTCTCTCCAGTTCTGGTCCCTGGGCAGCGCCCTGCTGAGCAACTCGAGGCAGCGGGACCTGAGGGCTGTGGCACGGGCGCTCATCCAGTGCACGGCCACAGTGGCCATCGGGCTGCAGTGCCATTACACCTGCGCTCACCTCACCTCCCCTCCCCTCACCGGTCTGCACCGCACCTCACCGCATCCCCCATCTCTCCCTTCTCTCCCCCTCCTTTCCCCCACCAGTTCTGGTCCCTGGGCAGCGCCCTGCGGAACAATTCGAGGCAGCGGGACCTGGGGGCGGTGGCACGGGCGCTCATCCAGTGCACGGCTACAGTGGCCATCGGGCTGCACTACTACCTGGCGGTGTTTGAGCGCGCCATGCTGGACGAGGCCCTGCGCATGAGCGCCTGGGCGTACCTCGTGTATGCGCTGGTGTTTGCGCTGCTCACGCTGCTCACACGGACGAAGCAGATGCGCGAGGAGATTGGGAAGAACACGTGAGGGCAGGCGAGGAGGGATGAGGGGGGTGGATTGGGTTGATGGTGCGAGGAGGTTTGTTGTTGGAGTTTGATTGGATGAGAGGGAGCGGAGTTGAATGGGAGCAAGTGTAGTGGGTACTGTGTGTTGTCTGTCACGATTTGAACACTGCGGTGCTGTTTTTTAGGCTAGTTGGAAAAGGTTTTTAGACATGGTGTGCTTCGCCAGATGACCTAAGCTATGAGTGCATGAGAAGTGTGTCATGGTGAATGCTTCAAGGCCTCCCATTTCCAATCCGGGTTTCTCCAGTCTTGCCCTGGAAGGGCGTGTCCACGCCACGCCGTATGTCTCCTATACGTTCTTTGCGGTCTTATTCCTTACGTGATGGTGCTAAACAGTTAACTTCATGTTGTCCAATATGTAAATGGTACGGTTTCAGAACATGATGCTATGTGGGCTAAGAAAGCCTGGTAATGGCACATGGCAGTTGAAGAAAGGCTAAGGAAAGGAATGAAATAGCAACTATGGTACTATCCATTGTCCAATAGAACATCACAGAATCGAATGAAGCAGATATATGCGACATGTCGATGCAGGATTGAAAGATGCGATTATAGTGAAATACGAGAAAGCAGCAGCCATAGCTCAACAGCCAACAAAAGTCGCCCCTGTAAACGAGCCAACGAGACTTGCACATTGCCTTGCGTTGCCCTGCGTCCATGGGTCTTGACTCTGCTACCCCCACCTCCTTGGCTTGGCATGGCAATGGTATCCCCAGCTGCTACTGCTGCTGCTGCTGCTGCTGCTGCTGCTGCTGCTGCTGCTGCTGCCTGTGCCTGCAACACGCACACACTCCGACTCCTCAGCCTTGTGCCCGTCCTGAGATCCTCCACACACAAATCGCACTCTCCTCTCCTCCCCCCCCTCTCCCCACCGCCCCGTCCCATGCTGCTGCTGCTGGGCTGTGCCAGCGATCCTGCCTTGTGTGTGCCTTGCTGTCGAAACAAGACCCGCATCAATAGCTAACCCCACTCTTCCTTCCTCCAATCATTCCAAGATGCTCATTTGACCCCTCTCCCATCCCCACTCCATCTTTGCTCACGCCTCAGCCTTTCCGCAACCCTCACTCCACACTCGTCTCCCCACCCCTCCTCCCCTCACTCCCACCCTTCACCCCTCACTCCCACCCATCTCCCCTCCTTCCTCCCCCCTCACTTCACCCCCCTCACCCGTTCATGAGCCTGTCAATCACGGCATTCAGGTCCACGCCCCTGCCCGAGTCCATCACCTGCTGCACCGCCGCCCGTACACGCTCCCTCGAAAACCCCATGCTTGCCACGTCATCCACCACCTTCTCTATAGGCACACTCGTAGTCACATTACCACCAGACCCAGACCCGGTACCTCCCACCCCTCGTGAGCCCTCTCCTCCTGCCCTCCCCCCTGCCCCTGCTCCTGCCATCCCTGAATCACTCACAGGTTCTGCAAACGTGACTCTCCTTCCGCCCCCTCCCCTCACTCCGCCCCTTGCTGCTGCTGCTGCCCCCGCTCCCCCGCCCGCCCCCCTGGCCCCACTCCCTGCCGGTGCTGCGACAGGGTGGGCAACGGGAAGGGGAGCAGCTGGGGCGGGAGGGGCGCCTGGGGAAGCGGAGGATGGGGGGAAGGCCCCAGGGGAAGGGGAGGATGGGTAGCCGGGAGTCAGGGGAGGGGGAGACGGAGTGAAATAGGGCTGGGATGGCATTGGGGGAGCAGGGGGGCCGCCGGGGGGAGGGGGAGGGGGTGGGTAAGGATACGGGGAGTGGGGGTAAGGCGGTTGAGGAGGCAGAGGCGGGTACTGCTGCTGCTGCTGCTGCTGCTGCTGCTGCTCGTGCTGCTGGTGAAACTGCTGCTGCTGGTGCTGTTGCTGGTGCTGCTGGTGCTGCTGTTGCTGGGTTATGGAGTGCGCGGGCATTGGCATGGATTGCCCTGGAGGAGGAGGAGGAGCAGGAAAGGGGGGCATGGCATATGGGGGGGGCGGAGCATGGGGATAGTACATCATGGCATGAGGCGCGGCAGGGGCATACATGCCCTGAGATGCAGGCGGAGGGGGAGGAGGGGGAAGAGGCGCAGGAGGGGGAGGAGGAGAGGAAGGAGGAGGAGGAGGGGGAGGAGGAGGAGGAGGAGGAGGAGCGTTACCAGGAGGAGGGGGGTAACTAGGAAGGGGAGGGGCAGCAGCATTCGGAGGAGGGAGAGGGGGAGGGGGAGCAGCATTTGGGGGAGGGGGAGGGGGAGCAGATGGCGGCAGCATGCTGTATGGCGGAGGGGGAGTGGGTGGGCGGGGGCGCGGGAGAGGGGGGAGGCGGAGGAGGAGCAGCGGCCGGAGGAGGAGGGGGAGGGGGGGGGGGGGGACCGGGGCAGGAGGAGGAGGCGGGGGAGGGAGAGGAGGAGCACTTGGAGGAGGCGGCTGGGGATAAGGCGAGGGGGGAACAGGAGCAGCAGGAGGTGGGGGAGGTGGGGTTTGGTGGGGGTGGCGGTGGGTGGAGTGGTGGGGGCGGTAGTGGTGGCGTAAGTGGTGGTGGTGCAGTAGCTTGTGCTGTCAGTGGGGGTGGTGGCACAGAGCTACCAGGAGCAAGGGGAGTGCTGGGAGCTGCCTGTTGTGCTTGTGCTACCTGATGTGATGCCTGCAGTGCTTTCATTTGCTGCTGATGCTTGTAGTGCTCTCGAGCTTCTGCTTCTTGCTCTGCTTGTGCTTGTGCTTGTGCCTGTGCCTGTGCCTGTGCCTGTGCCTGCATTTGCACTGGGTCAACCACTCTACCAGCACCGTACTGCTGCTGCTGTGCCAGATGCTGACTCCCTGTTTCCTGCTGCTTCTGCTGTTGCTGACCATTCAGCTGCTGCTGCTGCTGCTGGTGGTGTTGCTGAAAATTCTGCTGTTGCTGAAACTGCTCCTGCTGCACCTGAAAATTCTGATGCTGCTGGTGGTGTTGCTGAAAATTCTGCTGCTGCTGCTGCTGCTGCTGCTGAAACTGCTGCTGCTGCTGAAAATTCTGCTGCTGCTGCCGATGCAACTCCTCCTGCTGCTGCTGCTGCTGCTGCTGGTGCTGCTGCTGCTGGTGCTGCTGCTGCTGGTGCTGTTGCTGCTGCTGCTGCTGCTGCTCCTGCTGCCGCGGGGCAGATGCCAGCTGCTGTGGTTGTTGCTGTGCTAGCGGCAGAGATGGGTAGCCTACATAGGTCCCGAGGTATTGTCTTTCCGCCTGCTCTTGTGCCTGTGCCTGTGCTTGTGCTTGTGCTTGTGCCTGTGCCTGTGCCTGTGCCTCAAAATAGTAAGAGGGCGACGGATACCCACTGCTTCCCTGCTGCGGCTGCTGCTGCTGCTGCTGTTGCTGCGGATGGGGCAGCAGCGCGCCTGGGACTGCATGGCAGCAGTGGGTGCAAGGAAAGGGTAGGCCACAGGAGCAGGGGCAGCAGGTGTGGTTGGAGCAGTAGTAACAGGAGGTGGGGGAGGCGTGGCACGCGGAGCAGGGGCAGGAGGAGCAGGGGCAGGAGGAGCAGAAGCAGGCTCAGGGTAGGGAGGAGGAGGGGAGGAAGCGGGGGAAGTGTAGGGTGGAGATGGGGCAGAAGAAAGGTAGTGAGGGAGAGGCAACGGAGCGAGGGAGGATGAGGCGCAGGAGAAGCGTGCGGCGGCGGAGGCGGGGGCACCTGCGTCGGCTGGATAGCGGCAGCAGGGGCAGGAGGAGCGGGCAGCGCGAGAATGGTGCTGGCAGCAGCGGTACCACCAGTGGTATCGGTAGGTAGAGGTACTATCAGTGGTGTTAGCAGCGGTACCAATGGAACCAGCAGCGGTGGTGGGAGGTGCGGAGGCGAGGGAGAGGGTGTGCAGGCGCGAGAGCTCTGCGTGAGCATCTGCTAGCTCCTGCCGGTCCCTCAATACCTGAATACCCCTCTGCACCTGCCATGCTCGCAGGGGGGGCGATGCAGGGGGACAGAGGCAGGAGTGGTATGGGGGACAGAGGGACGTGGGGGGAAGGGCAGAGGGACGCAACGGGGGAAAAGGGGCAGAGAGGGGCAGGGAGAGTAAGGGGAACGGGGGGCGCATGGGGGGAAGATTCAGGGGGAAAGCTGAGAAGGCTGAAGGGGAGAAGCAGGGGACGTATGGGGCGGTGGAGGGTGGTAGGGTGGGGAGGAAGGGGAGGGCAGAAAGCAAACAAAGGAAAACTGAAAGCGAAAAAGACTACAACAAAGAATGAGAGAGAGAGAGAGATAAAAACGCGCACAGAATGTGAGTGATGTTGCAGCAAAGGCAAATTCAGAACTTCACTCAAACATAAACAAACAACAACTAACCCCTCCCCCTTTTTCCCTCGTCACACCCTCCCCACTTCCTCCTCTCTCACCCCCTTTCTCACTTCTCCCCTCTCCCCTCCCCTTTTCCCCTTCCCCCTTCACCCTCCCCCTCCCCTTTTCCCTCCCCCTCCCCTTCCCCCTCCCCCTCCCCTTCCCCCTTACCCCGTCCCCCTCCCCCTCACCTCCAGCAGCAGCTGCTCCACTGACCGCATTCTCCCCTCCAACTCCGCCTGCCTCTCCCCCAATTCCCGCCACCCCCTCTCCCCCTCGCGCTGCAGCGCCCCCACTGCGCCCTCCACTGCGCCCACGCGCGCCCCCACCTCCCCCACGGCCGCGCCCACGCCGCCCGCGAACCGCTGCAACAGATGCTCCACGCCACCCAGAACGGCGGAGGTGACGTGGCTCAGGTCCGCCGCGGTTGCTGGGGCGCGCGCTGCTGCTGATGCGCGCATGCCCTCCCCCCCGCCCATGGATAAGCTTCCGCCCCCACTGCTGCCCCCACTGCTGCCCGTACTGCTACCCCCACTGTTGCTGCCGCCACCAGCACTGCCACCACCACTGGCTCCTGCGCCTGAGCCTGCTGCTTGGCCCCCACCCCCCCCAACGTAACTACCTCCGAAGCCTCCCCCTCCGCCTCTCCCATCCCCACCTCCCCCGACGCCTCCCCCTCCCCCACCCCCCGCTGCTGCGCGGATGGCTGG